ATTTCAGATGATCATGTTAGACCTGATTTATTCAGAGAGGTATATTACAAATATTTTTTCCAGCAACTCTTTGGTCTTTGTCATTTAGTTTAAGGTACATCACTCTTTTTGAACTTAGTGTTATAGAGAAGTTGATATATTATTTTGCTACATAGCAATAAGTTGTTAAAGCTGTTTTTAGAAATTAGTCATTTTTCTAGCAGTTCCCAATTTTAATGCTTTTAAAATCATATCTTAATATAAATTTATTGATACATATGATTATGAAAATATACTCCAAATTCAATAGCACTTAATAATGAATTTATTTGTGCATATATCAAGAAACAGTACACTTGTGTGAAGCCTTTATAGGGAGTCTACAGTCAATTCTTGGTGTACACTGAGGTTCCAAGAGGTCTTCTAGTACTCTTCAGTATTCATGCTCACCCCAAATAATGGCTGGCCAATTGGAAAAGTCTATAATTAAAAATTTCAGATGATTGCTTTACATACCCAGCTTTTCTAGTAATGTTGTATAACCTTCGAGTACAACCTTTTTTCAGCTAGGGTCATCTAAACTCTAAATCCGTGACCAAAAAACAAACAAACAAACAAAAAAACCTCAGTGTTATAAGTAAAAGTTTCCTTTAGTCTACAAATGGGAGTCACTAAGTAATTACAAATTGAGTCAATGAATGAATGACTACTTGAATGATGACTGTGAGTGCTTGATGTCCTGCCATTGTCTTGGCAAAAAGTATGGAAATAACTCCCAAATGGGAAGGAACTGAGTAACTTTACCAGGAGAACTTCATGTCCATGAACCAGAAAGGAGCAAGCAATATTTCATAATGTTGGACATCATGTCACATCTTTCACCCAGTTTGTATTGTGCCAGGAAATATTTAAACATTTTCTCTTTCTTAATTATTTTTATATCAAAGTGATTTTTAAAAGAGGGGCAATTTTAGGAAATGTAATAATCTTGGCATTTTTGTATATTGTATCTTTTGCAGATAAATGATAAATTTAACAGCAATGAGCTTCAAAATGGGAAATCCCAATTGTGCCTTCATAAAAGAAAATATCTTTCATCTGTGTTCTTTGATTAACTCTTCTGCAGTTATGTCTTAAAATACCCAAGATGCTCATTTAATCTTTTATCCTTATTTCTAGGACCTCATCAGATTGTATATTGGGAAGATTTTGCAGAAAACATTGTTTACAATGTATAACGTAGGGGGAAAATAGAACCAATCTGTACACACGTCCTGTTCTCTATCTTTAGTTGTGTCTCTGTCTTCCTTTATAAATATCTATATTTTGGTGGTGCTGGGGATTAAACTCATTGCCTAGTACATGCTAGGCAAGTGCTCTACCACTGAACTACATCCCCAGCCTCTTTTACAAGTGTTTTGGTGTGCTCTTTGAAATACTATCCTAACTACACATTTAGGATGCTGCTGCAGTTGGGAGGACAGGTAACTTTSCATGAAGCCTTTTCAGTTAGTAAGTAAAGAGGTTTGGTCTGATGCTTTTTCAAAGTTRTTCTAATTCTCCCTAGTACCGAATCTTAAACCACCTTCTCTAATTAAAGGAGAACATGGTTGTGATTTTGTGGAGATACTTTTTTATTTTTTATTAAAACAATTTGTGGCTTTTATTAGAGAGGCAATGAAGTACAAAACAGAAAATAGAAAATAACGAAATAGCTAGAAAATAGGAAATAATATAAGCGATCCCTCTACTTAGTGAATACTGTTAACATTTTACCATTTCCTTTCTGTATTTTTTTTCAGTGTGTTTTTATAATGTTTAGATCAAGGTGTACTATGTCTTTTCCCCTCATTTAGAATTGAAAGCTTTCCATTTACTGCAATATGATATATCATTAAGAATCCTTGTAAATATATTTTGATGGTTTTACAGAATTTTCTTATTGGGATGTGCCATATTTTATTTAATTGCTCCCCCAAAGTTGGGCTTTTAATTTATTTCTGTCAATTAAAAAAAAGTTCTTGTAACATTTATTTCTGCATAACTTCTATGTCTGCATTTTCACTTACTTTTCCAAGGATTAATCACATATTAGAAGTAGCATCACTGGATATCAATGTTTTTGGCCAGTTGATATACACTTAATGAACTGATTTTTTGAAAGACTGTGTAGTTCATAATTTCATCAGTAAGTTTTTTAGTTAATTGTTTTATCTCAACATTAGATATCATGACTTTTTGACTTTGCTAGTTTTAGAGGCCAAAAAAACAATTTCTTACTTTTTCCCCATATTTCTTTGACTGTAGTAGAACTTTTTTTCCATTAAAAAATTGACCATTTATGTTTATTGTTCATTTATCTATTAGAATCTTAGCATTTTGTTTTTATTTAAATTTCTGTGAACTTTTTAGTAGACTAATTTGTGTCATTTGTGATTTTTGAGGATTATAATATGTACATTTTTCAAATTTAAATATATTGATGCTTTTCTTTGTAATTTCCCTCATTGCTTCGAATTTAGAAAGTAGTTTCTGTATTCACAAACTAGAGAAATATTTAAGCAGTTCTCTTCTTCCACTTTTCTTTTTTTTGTTGGGTTGGTTCTCTTACAGTTAATTCTGATCTACCTAGTAAAAGGATATTATGTTTGGGTAGAGTCTTTTTTTCTTCCAAATACCTAACTAATCATCTTATTTCATTTGTTCTTTACATTTTATGATGCCACATTTATCAGACATTGACTTTTATCATATTAGGTTATTAGAGTAAGATAGTATTTTGAAATTGTCTCCTCAGTTTTTCTCTTGACCTATTCTTTTGAGGATTTGCTCATTGGGAACTTTTATTTACTACCCTGCTTCTCTTTTGGCTCTCTTTTTCCCCCATCTGTTATTAATTTTTATTTCTGCACTTCTTCCAGAATTAAAAAAAAATTGCTTCATATGTGAGTGCTTACGGGCAGCTGCACTGTTAGATTTATCATTGTATTCCCTGTAGCCCTTATTAAGATTTCTTAATTTTAAAATTAGAACATTTGAGAGATAAGAAAAAGTGCAGAGAAGAAAATAACTTGGTCTCCCCATTCAAATATACCATAATTTTGTTAAATGTTATTTGACAGAATTTACCACAATCTATATAGTATATGTGTGTGTGTGTGTGTACATATATATGAGAAATGCTGAAATATACACATTTATAAGTGTATACTACTTTGTTATGTGCTTTTTACTTATAATAATTTTATATCTTTAAATATTCCTCTCTGAATGAAGTAGACTTTTAAATTATTCTGGTGATCTCTACCAGTCTGTACACTAAATAATCACTCATCATGAAAGAGTATGCTGTTGTTTCAAAATGATCGAGTTTTGGAGAAATAATATGGATAGAACACCTGTTATCTCTAAGATGCACATATGTATATGTATTTTTTAAGACTGTATCAGCTACTGCACAGTCGTTTTATTCAGGTTGAGTGAGTAAAATGTGAGAAGACAAATAGATTGGTGCATTTCATGTGTTTTTGAAGGATGCTAAATGGTTTGGCCACTTGAGGTCTTGCAGAGTGGTAGCATTGCAGTCTAGGGACTGATCCTTGGCTATTGATGTCTCAGAAAGAAGAAGGAATCCAGAATTTCTAGGGCAAGAGAAATTACATGCCAAGAATTTGTATATTGGTAGCTGCAAAGTCTGTTCAGTCAAGTCAAAGGGGTAGACCTGAATTCAAAGGGTCATTTTAGGTACAATGACCGGAGGGCACAAGGAAGGTGGAAGGAAAATCTCTRACAAACAGGAGGTTGGGCAGTAGAGAAGTGGCTCTGGGTGAGAGGGTCGGAGTGGTGATGACAGCAGTATCTGGAGAGTACAGGTGAGCACTTTAGATTGACCTCATTGTGAGGATGCAACTGCCATCTTTCACTGGGGAGCTGAGGAACATGACCTTTATTATGGGATTCTCATGGTCGAGTACGATTTAAATATTTTTAAGGATCCTTTGCTAGATTATGTSGGGGAGGGAAGGGGGAATACTTTCAGGGAATTTTGAGAAGTTATGAAACTATCAGGACTTTAAGGCATTGTCTTTTGGGAAAAATGTGTCTTGATGCTTATTGTATCCATGGATACTCAGAAGAGAGAACCAGAGATTATCCAACAAATCATGTGGCAGCCAGCTGATTATGGTTGAGGCTGAAGGTCCAATGGGTAGTAATGGGAGGGCATCCTAGAAGAGCACCTCAGCTCAGGAAGGAAGGCCTTCAGTAAGGAGAGCCTCTGGATTTGAACTTGATCTTGACAATATGAAGTTTGTAGCAAAAAGGAGTTACCACATAAACCCTCATATCTTCACAGTCTTTTATCACATGTGCTACAAAGGAGTGTTATTTTTCTTTTTGAATCGTATGTATACCGGTCAAGTAGATTGAAAATTAGATGATTGTAACACAAATTTTATTTTTAATTGTTTTCTGTTTATAAAGTTGACATGGCACTTTCTGTTCTCTCCTAGAAGTTATCCTTGTTAAATTAAGGTAGGTTAATACAATGTGTTGGGTAACCTGGTGATATTTGTTAAGATGTGTGGAAATAGTCTATTTTGTAATTTGTAAAGCAGTACCAACTATACTCTTGACATTTATGAATTGTTTAACTTGAGTGAACAACATGATTTCTGTAATGGCTTATTATTATTCATTAAAAAAAAACACCAAATTGTTTCTCTCTGGGTATATGAGCTAGTTGGGAAAAGCAGGGCTGAGATTCTCATGCTGAGCAGGTGGCAAACCTCACTCACCAGCTGAATGGCTCCATCCTGCACTCTGGCCTTACAGCCTACATTAATATTTTTTCCTGTAGAGAAAGGTCTATCTCAACGTGTGTTACCTATGGTCTTTRGTGATATCTTGGAAAGAGTTAAAATTGCAGATGTTAAATTCCTGAGTGCCCAGAGACTCCTTACCAATTAGAATATAAAGCTTCTCAGAGTGATAATTTGTATTGTTTTCTTTAATTTTATTAGGTAAAAAAGCTCCTGTTTTATTTAGTAAAGAAATGATTGAGTCAATGAAGGAAGGTTCAGTTGTTGTGGATCTTGCTGCAGAAGCTGGCGGAAACTTTGAAACCACTAAGCCAGGAGAACTTTATATTCATAAGGTATAGCAAAAAAACATTTTCTGCCTGTGAATGAATGCTACTATTATTATTAATTTGTGAGGTATTTTTTTTTTTTTTTTTTGCAGTACTGGGAATAGAATTCATGGCAGGTGTTCTGTCACTGAGCTACATCCCAGCTTCCTCTGAGGGGGATGTTTATTCCTTTAAATATTTGAAAAAATTGAGACCTGAAACTTTTTAAAATTAAAAACAGGTGCAGTTAAAGATCTTTTTGAAATTCGTACTTATGTTTGAGAGAATGTATGTATATATATGCAAAAGATATATAATTTTAAAACTTAGTATTGAGTATGAATGGGAATTGTCTTGGAAAGAATGTGAGCATAAGGTAATATACCTCTTTGACTGTATGCGTTTTCATTTAGGGAGTCACTCATATAGGCTACACAGACCTTCCCAGCCGGATGGCCACCCAGGCCAGTACTCTGTATTCCAACAATATTACCAAGCTCCTGAAGGCCATCAGCCCTGACAAAGATAATTTTTATTTTGAAGTGAAAGATGATTTTGACTTTGGTACAATGGGTCATGTCATTAGAGGAACTGTAGTGATGAAGGTAAGTAGAGATGTCTTCCTTCCTGTGTGTTTTTTTTTTTTTTTTTTAATTTTGCAGTACTAGCAATTGCACCCAGGGAGCTCTACCACTGAGCTTCATCCCAGCCCTTATTATTATTTTATTTTGAGTTAGAGTCTTTTCAAGATGCCAGGCTTGAATGCCAATTGAATGTGGTAATTCTCTTGCCTTAGCCTCCCTAGTTGCTGGGATTATAGATGTGCACTACTGCTCCTGGCACTTCCTGTGTTTTTAATGTAAATTCATTTTAGAATCTTTGTTCAGGCAAGAATCATTTTCAAATATTAATGTGCTCTAGTGAAATACTGACATACCAGGTTTATGCCAATAMAATTATTTAAAAGTGGAGAATGATTTAAAGAAAAATATTTCAAAGTCTCAAATATATACAACTCACTGAAAATGTTCTTTGCATTTGAAAACCAGAAACAAATGGAAATTGAATAAAATAAAGCAGTGTTCTCTCCACAGGCCTGCTTTTTTGGGTTTGATCTGTATTTTCTATATACGTTCTACACACATACAAATTATAGATCTATGTATGTGTAATACAAAAATTACATATTTGTGTACACGTTATAAATTTTATGAATTTATAATATASTTATGTAAAATTATATGTAGAATAGCTTTTTTWAAAAACAGTTATTTCTGTAAGTGGTTTTTGAAATATTGGTTTGACCTTTTAAAATAATACTATTTTTTGGGGCTGGGGATGTGGCTCAAGCAGTAGCGCGCTGGCCTGGCATGCGTGCGGCCCGGGTTCTATCCCCAGCACCACATACAAAAACAAAGATGTTGTGTCCGCCRATAACTAAAAAATAAATATTAAAATTCTCTCTTTCTCTCCCTCTCTCACTCTCTCTTTAAAAAAAAATAATAATACTATTTTCTGATCTCTGTTAGGATGGTGAAGTGATTTTCCCTGCTCCCACACCGAAAAATATTCCTCAAGGTGCCCCAGTAAAACAGAAGACAGTGGCTGAGCTAGAAGCTGAAAAGGCAGCTACTGTTACACCGTTCAGGAGGACCATGGCCACAGCTTCTGCCTACACAGCAGGTGAGGATCCTGGCTGTGTAGCAAAGAGACCTGATTGTGTTCATTTTATATGTAATGTCGTAATTGTCAAATTAGGTAAATGCAATGGTGTTGTTGTTCTGTGGATTCCATTCATAACTGGGCCTGAAAGACTTGACTTTTTATCAACATGTTACTTGTCTCACTTCTTTTTCTTCTTCTTTTTTAAATATTTAGTTTTTAGTTGTAGGTGGACACAGTCCTTTATTTTTATGTGGTGCTGAGGATCRAACCCAGTGCCTCACACACKCTAGGCTAGCGCTCTACCTCTGAGCCACAACCCCACCCCACTTGTCTCACTTCTTTGGGATTGATTAACCCCACTCCAGAGACACAAACTGTATGCTGAATACTTAAGAGAAGCCATGTGAAATGACATCCAGGCTGTGAGCATGATTCCTTTTATAGAAAACATTTTAAATATAGTCATTGATATTTCTATCCACACTGATTATATTGGTTGTGATGGATATCAGMTTGTGTTGGTGTTAAGTTATGTGTAAGTGTAGTTAAGGGCATCTTGTACTTTGCAAAACATCAGTTGTGAGTAGTTGGCTAAGTATCTGAGTAGTTGGGTAAGACTGGGAAGCCAAATATTTGCCTTAAAGAATAAACACTGCAATTATAGAGCCTTTGGATATTTGACTAACATTCTAAATTACTCACCTAGTAAAAATTTACTATTTTGATTTTGATCTCTTTAAAATTTAACATAAGTTTTTTGTTGTTGTTTTTAAGTTCAACTTTGTGAAAACCTGAAAGAATTATTGTAAAATAGTGACAAATATTCATTATGGTTATGCATTGTTAGATACTGAAATCTGGGTATTTGACTTAAAATTGGTTTCTCTTTCATAGAACAAATTAAAAATATTTAGATCTACTTAGAGCCAAAATAAAAACAAAGGAAAACTTTAAAGAACGAAGAACAAGCACCAGGCACACAGAATTCTTGTAGCCTCAGCATTATCTGAATTCCCATGTGAGTCCAGATGTTCTAAAGCTAAGTGTGTAACTCCTTGAATAAAGAGCTCGATTCAGCAAAATGAGTGGAAAGCTTCTGGTGATGAACATTGCAAGTAGATAGGGCAGTGTCCCTACTTGCACTCACTTGTTTAAAAAAAAGAAAAAAAGAAACTAGATTATTGTATCACACATGGAGTTTTTTCTGAGTAGCATTATAAATTTCTATTTATCTTTGAAATTCCTAAATAAATGATGGGAAAGTGCATGCAGTTTTATTTTTCTAGGTTTCAGTTATATTTATTGAGTCAAGGTATATTGCTTTTTGCTAGATTATTAAAGAATTGATCTTTGTATGTCTCTTTGATGCAAACAAATGACTATGGATTATGATAATTCAATATTTTCTGACTAATGTGGTTAGAATAAGAATTATCATTTAGTGAGTGCTAGGCATTGTGCTGAATATTTCATATGCCTTAGGCTAATTTTATTCTTTAAAAGAATTCAGTAAGGTAGGCATAATATTATATTCTTTTACAGATGAAGACAGGGTTACTAATTTTATGGATAAAGACACCAAAGCACAGACAATTTAGGCAATTTGCTTTAGATCACACAGTTGGAGAGCACCAGAATGAGGATTTAAACCAGGCAGTCTGACTTAGGAAAACTTATGATTAACTGCAACCCTAAACAGCTCTCTGATTTTTAACTAGAAGGCCAAATRTTTTATCTGACTTTCCCTCCAGATGGTTAACAGGCCATGTGTTAGAACCTTGGAAATATTGTATGTGGGTAGAAAAACATAAACCTTCACTCTTACTGAATGACTTAAAGTAAAATTAATGTCAATTTGTAGATGTCCCAGTTATACCGTTTAGAAAATAATAGTTCCTACCAAAGAAGTGAGAGGTTCCTCCCTCTCTACAGTAATGCACTGTAGTTCTATTTTCACTGACCATTAGGTAACCCTTTCTCCTGCTGCAGAGCAGCTATCCACATGTTTGCTATTAAGGAAGGCGCTAATTAAAGATGTATGTTCAGAACTGACTGTTTGTATTCTGCACATTCTTAATTTAATTTGTATTTTTTTTTTCCTTTTCTTTGTAAAATCCTGTTTGCTGACTTGGTGTTGAGGCTAGAGCTGACTGCCCTGGCCAGCAGTCCAGTCCAGATTCGGGAGCAATTGCAAAACTTCTGTCCCGGGTGGGTGGAAGCCATATGTTTTGGGGAGGTGCTGGAGTGAATGAAATCCTTCCTACTCTTTTAAAACCTCTCTTCCTCAGCCAATTCTGAGAGTGACATAAAATTGGCCTCATAAAAGTCCTGTCTTATAAAGGTTATGTCTTGCCCAAGTAGAAAATGCTTTGTAGCTCCTCTGTAGGCCTATAATTCTGGAATAAAAATGTTTGTATAAATACATGTGACATTGTCAATGAAAGTTGAAACACAGAAGAGGACAAAGCTTTGCAAAGGAAAATGTGCAAATTATTATTAAGGTGACTCATAAATATTAGTGGATCTTTACAAAGTATTTGAGAGATGGAGTGGTCAGAAAGTTGTGTTTTGTCCATAATATCTTCCTCCTTCCCCTACTTCTCAAATGCCAAATGTGTAATTTGCTCTTTATTGGCAAGGGAGTGGAATGTGAGACACAGACTCTTCATATGTTTGACTGTGTGTGGAGGTATGTATGTGTTCTTTTTTAATCTGAGATAATGGGAAGTCATCTCACACTCTTTACTTTCTTTCTCTAGGTCTCACTGGGATGCTGGGTTTGGGCATTGTGGCTCCCAATCTAGCCTTTTCTCAGATGGTGACCACTTTTGGCTTGGCCGGCATCGTGGGGTACCAYACCGTCTGGGGAGTGACTCCTGCTCTCCACTCACCACTGATGTCTGTGACTAATGCAATCTCAGGTTTGTTCTTCATGTGTTTGCTTCATCTTAGGTTTTCAAAGGCTTCTTAGCTTTAGGAGTACTTTCCATGAGGTTTATAAAGTCTGTGTTTTCAAATTGTTTCCCTTGGTATAAGAGGTGGTTATTAAGGTGACTCACAGCTTCCCCAAAGGTGGGGGTTGGGTTGTGAAGTAAAAGGTCATGCAGCATTAGCCCTTTGGGCTGCTTCTGTTTCAAGCAATGCAGGTCTACTGGTATTTCTTTCAATTATGATTTCCTTTAAGGAAAAGTTTTCACTGATGAAATGTGAAAACTCCTGTTTCACAGAATCAGTTGCCACATCCTATGGGTGCTCTTCTTAAGTCAAACTGACATTCAGCCTATCGAGGTTTCAATAAGTGATACCAATACGTGGTATCAGTTCACAATAAAGCACAGGAGATAGGAACTGGCTTGCTGAGACAGCATCAGGCATTTCTTTACTCTGATCCAAGCTGCCATCYACGTGGCTGCCTAGGAACTGTTCTTTGGCCCCCAGTGATGGCTCCAACATGAGGAAATGATACACACATGGAACAGGCAACAGGTCCCTCGATCATTTCTTTTTTCTCTGGTGGTGCTGGAGATCAAACCCAGGGCCTCACGTATGCCAGGCAAGCACCCTACCACTGAGCTACGTTCCCAGCCATCCATGGTCATTTCTTATAACATTGTTAGGATTTCTGCAGAGATGTCAAGTTTCAAGAGGTTCTATACTCAGGAAAGCCCAAAGCTGCGGCATCCCCATCAAGTATTTATAGTTCACTTAGTCCTTTCCAGTCTGTTTATAAGGTATCTACCTGTGGACACTTTTCCCTAAAAGCAATGTTGTCTAGTGGCATTGTTGATTTATATCAGTCAGGGTCAGAGCAAAAAAGTTACAGGAAGGTCAGATTCTAATGCAAAAGGAGGAAAGGTTTTGCTAACATTTTGCCCACGATAGTACTTTAAGTGAGAAAAGTGTGGAGGTGTGTTATCTATAGTCCTCATTAGGAAAATCGTTTATGTCTGAATGGAGGCACAAAGAGGCTGCTTTGTGTTTGGTAGTGAGAACTTTCCCCTTGTGAATCTGTGTATGACAGGTCTGTCCTTCAGCTGTGACATTTCATTTGGAGTTACCTCTATAATCACCATATTAATGTTTTCTTTCTAGGTTTGACAGCAGTTGGTGGATTGGCGCTGATGGGGGGACATTTGTATCCTTCCACAACTTCTCAGGGTCTTGCTGCTCTTGCTACATTCATCTCCTCAGTCAACATTGCAGGTATGATGATCATGAAAGAACCTAGAGTGCTATTTTTTTTCCTTTTGGTACCAGGGATTGAACCCAGTGGTGCTTAACCACTGAGCAACATCCCCAGCCCTTTTTTACTTTGAGACAGTGCCTTACCAGGTTGCTGAACCTGGCCTTGAACTTGTGACCCTCCCTTCTCAGCCTCCTTATTTTGGTATTGCAACCATGTACTACTGTGTCAGCTTAGAGTACTTTTTTAATGAAGACATAGGCTGCAAATTCAAATCAGAATAAAGTGGACTTTCTGACTTTAAGAAACTAACTGTATCATGAAAGAATATTTCACTCAGACCATAAATGCTCTTTGTGAAGGAAACTTGATAATTTTGTCCATTTGTAATTGTTAGAAACTCTGTTGATAAAAGAACAACTTTCCCCATGCCCCCAAACAAACAAAATGATGTCTTGCTACAAGTTAACTAGAAAGTTATCAAGTGCATAGTTTTGGATTACAATGATTTAGTGCTATCACCTAACATCTACAAAGGCATATAGTTTTTTATAACATTTTAGTCTTCTGGCTTACTGCAGACAATGTTTGTTCCTAAAAACTGAAAGCTTAACACACTATTCATGTATGAGTCTCATTTGGTGCTATTTTGTAGCTAAGATTCTTTAATGTGTCCAAGAAACATGGTGCCTGTCCATATGCTATTTTTTCTTTATCACTTAGTACAGTTATCAAATGAAGTAACCTAATACTAAGACAAAAAAATAGGGGCTGGGATTGTGGCTCAGCAGTTAGATGCTCACCTGGCATGGGCAGGGTGCTGGATTCAATCCTCAGCATCACATAAAAATAAAATAAAGGTATTGTGTCCAACTACAACTAAAACAAAATATTTTTAAAAAGAAAAAAAATACTGACTATTGATCTTTTGCATTTCCAAGCTTTTTGAAGAGCTGTTTGCTTTTAGTCATGCAGAAATAGTTGTTTTTGCATTTTGATAGCAAGTTTCCTTCCTGAATATACGTGAAAATATGTAGGGTTTTTTTTCCCTCTAATTTCTGGCTTGAATAGTAGAATGATTTTTATTTTTGATACTCTAAAAATGTTACTTAAGTTATATTTATACCTAGGTGATAAAATATGTTTAAACAGAAAAATTATAAGACTTTTGGAAAAAAAATCACTCTGCTCAATGGGACACCTCTTTTTGTTTTGTCTTCCCTTTGCTTTGATAAGGTGGCTTTCTGGTGACTCAGAGAATGCTGGACATGTTCAAGCGTCCCACGGATCCCCCAGAATATAATTACCTGTATCTGCTCCCTGCTGGCACCTTCGTGGGTGGATATTTAGCTGCCCTTTATAGTGGCTATAACATTGAACAAGTAAGAGGATTTTTGAATGGTTTTATTTTTACCACTGTGTTTTCTTCCTTATTAGATTTAACATTATTATTACCACAATTCAAACTCTTAAGAAAATACTACTCTGCCAAGCAAATTCAGTAATTACCATTCTCTAAGTATAAGGACCCTGGATTCTACAGATAGAGTTGCCTGCTAATGGGGGTTTACCTGTCCCTAAATTTTTACATGAAAAAAAAGTTGAGAAGGTATTAGTACCTTATTTATGTACATGGCTGGGTTGTTTTAAGGTTTCAATGAAATAATCAGTGATTAATTTGACAAATTTTTGTTATTAAGARCTTAGTCGTTTTCCTGCTTTCTTTCTCCTTTTTGGGCACTCTACCACCAAGCTGTATCCCCAACTCTTTTTAATTTTTTGAGACAGGGTCTTGCTAGTTTGCTTAGGGCCTTGCTGAACTTTTCCTATTTTCTTTCTACTTCTACAAATCCAGTAAGTCATGTTGTTACCAGGAAATGTCAGGCCAATTCATTTTTWAAAAGAAAATTTAAAAATTAATGTTGAATAGTAAAAGAGAAATAATCAAGTTGAACTTTGAAAGTTCCCAGTCAAAATATAATAGAGCCTCAACTTTGATCTGAACTATTTTCCATTTCTTTTCAATGACTGTCACTGATTGCAACCTCTGTAACAGAAGAATCATGTCTCTCCTGGTTTCTTCTGTGTTTCTAACATGGAGTATTTGTTGAATTAACAATATTTTTTTAGGAAGAGTTGAATCAATGAGTCAGGGACATGAAAGTCTGAATTCCAGATTTGCCCTTTTCATTTGACCTTGAAGAAATCATGTAATCTTTTTAGTCTTAGATTTTCTCTTTTGTAAATTGAAGATAGTGATTCTTTCTTCATGTTGGTCTCATGAAACTAAGTCAAGTGAAGTCTATGCACATTTCCTGGCTCTTATGACATCAGGGCTTARCTCCTTTGTAACATTTGGTCAGGTTTAGTATCACATCCAACAATAACTCCATTAAATTTAGATATTTTTATATGTATTTATGTATAACATGTGTATAACCCAGAAGAAACCAATTTACATAATGGTATAATTGCAAATACAACACAAAGTATTTAACATGCTAATATTCCTAACAGGTAGGAAAACATACTGAAATATGAAAAGAGCTCAGATTTGTCCCTTTGTTATCCAAACTTAAATTGTCCTTAGAGAATCATGTTTCCATCAGAGAGGTCCTCTCTAATCTAATAGATGGAAGGTTTTAATAATCTCTCTCTCTCTCTCTTTCCCCTTTCCTTTGAAAAGATCATGTACCTAGGCTCGGGCTTGTGCTGTGTTGGTGCCCTGGCTGGCCTTTCCACCCAGGGGACAGCTCGTCTTGGCAATGCACTGGGTATGATTGGGGTTGCTGGAGGCCTGGCAGCCACACTTGGAGGCTTAAAACCGGACCCAGAATTGTTAGCTCAGATGTCTGGAGCAATGGCTTTGGGCGGTACCATTGGTAAGCACTTTTAGGCTTCTGCCTTCATGGGAACCCATGTCCTTCAAATACTTGAGGGTATTCCGCTCGGGGATTTTAATGTGCTGTTCTACATTGCTTAGCATTGAGGAATGCATCCTTTCATCGTGGTGCAAATATCATAGAGTGCACTTACACAAATCTAGGTGGCATAGCCTTTTATATATCTGGGCTTATGATGCAGGCTAATGCTTCTAGGCTACAAATCTGTATGTTACTGTACTGAATATGTATGCARTTGTAATATAATGGTATGTATTTGTGTATCTAAACATAGAAAAGTTACAGTACAAGTACTGAGCAATTGGAGTTTTTCATCTTTATTATAACCAATAGGACCAATATCATGTCTCTTTATCAAAGTATCTTTATATGGTGCATGCATGGCTGTACTTTGTTAAAGTAAGTCCTTTTATTAGCAGCCTGGTTTCTGAACACATATTTCTGTTTGAGGCCCATACTGATGAAGGGATTAAATTAAATTACTTTAATGGAAATTACATCAGTAAATATTATCATATTTATTAAAGTTGGTATAATTTTCRTTGTAATTCCAGTATTTTAAAATATGGAGTAACTATGATGACTGGGTCAAAAGAGATGGTAAGAATTTGACTGTACTCAGTTTTTATTTTCCTTTAGTATGCCTAGTTGGCTGATGGTAGAATAGGGTGCTGAAATACTTATGTTTGTACTATATATAGGCACATGTTTTGATCTGGTCGTAAATAATAGTTGAAAATTTTGCTTCTTAGACCTGTTAAAAACTTGAAAATTACATGGGTGGGCAAATAAACCATTGTTAATCATGTTTAGTATGTTAGTTTACTATTGTTAAATTTTCAGGAATTTTGCAAATTTTTAAATATAACCACCATTAAAACCTAAATTACATAAATTTAAAATAAAATATATTAGAAGCAAAGGTCATAATACTAAAAACACATACTTTTGTAACTAACCAGATTTTATCAACTGTGCTCTTGGGATTATTTATGTCTATTACGGGGTTTAATAGAAATAGTATGAGGTAGTGGGCTATTATACATTTCCTCTCAGTCCCAAATTCAGTACTATCACATCGGCAGGTAGAAATGATCCTTGGTAGAAGTATTTGTACTATTGAAATAAACATATGCTGCACATCTGGGCTTGATTTGTTATTTTATTTATTGTTCAGACATAAGAAAGTGAAGGAAAAATATTAATAATACAGTTTAAGCTTAAAATATGTTGTGACTATAGCCCTTGCAGTATAAGTAACACAGAGTTGAACAGTCTTCCAATGTTTGAAAACTGTTATCAGATTCAGCAAAGAAGTCCCTTGCAGAGTTGGCAAATGAGTGAAGTTCTCACATACATCTTACATATATATGCCACAAACATATGGTATTTTACTTTCATCCTACTTGTTAATGTAAGCAAAAATATTAGCCAGTGTTTAGGTAGGAAGTCTGCCTGTTCATCAGTTACAAACACTAGGTTGGCTGCAGGTACAAGAATTTAGCAATAATCAACAAAAGCATCTCAGGACAGTCATTTATCTATATGGAAGTTGGAATGAAGAGTATTGAGTATTTAATTATCATTTGAATTAACGTATACCTTTATATCATTAAAACTCATGTATTTATTTGCACATGTAAATCCCCCACCCCTGTGAATTGGTTGTTAAATATTTACCAGAGTGATGTTCGCTTTAAGCTTTTTTTTTTTTTGGTACTTCCTTAGGGGAACTTTAAGTTCTTTCTTGATAACCTCTAAAAAATAATTGAAGGAAGAAAAACCTGTGTTTATGGCACGAAATCCTTTAGACATATCTTAGCAAATATTTTGAGTCCCACTCATTCTATTTACCTATCTCGAGCTATGAAATTCCTTCAGAGTCTCCTCATTCCAGCATTTTCTGCCCAGAATCTTGCAGTTCTTTACTTTTGGATTTGGCTCCCACCTACCTACCTGAAAACCTGTCCCTGTCACTACCCCCCCCAGGAATATTCCCTGTTCCCATATTCTAGCTGTTTCTTACTGCATGGGAGCAAGCACTGCCTATAAAGAAGAGGCCTGGAATAGTCATTTAGTGGGGAGAATTTTAGGGGGCCTATTTGGAGGTTAGAGTGATCTCAAGAAGCTTTTGTTGAGGAAGAGGAGTTAGTGGGAGGAAGAAACAGGCATTGGTGCTATGTTTGTGTTATTTGAAGTTGGGCCTTGGTTAGATGTTTGGAAAAAACCTAGTTTTGAAAGAGTATATGTGTAAAACAATGCCTGTACAGTCCCTGCAGAAGATATCAGCCTGTACTAAGGATTAGGTAATATTTATTGGTGACGGTGGTGGGAACATTTACRTGTGATCTTTGGTGTGGTCATGTCTCAAAGGTCTGTCCAGTTGTAATTTCTCTTTGATCATCATTTCCCAACAGGATTGACAATTGCCAAACGCATCCAGATTTCCGATTTACCTCAGTTAGTTGCTGCTTTCCACAGTTTAGTGGGCTTGGCAGCCGTGTTGACTTGCATAGCTGAGTACGTTGTGGAATATCCACATTTTGCTATGGACGCAGCAGCAAATCTCACCAAGATCGTGGCCTACCTTGGCACTTACATTGGCGGTGTCACCTTCAGTGGGTCACTTGTGGCCTATGGGAAATTACAGGGTAAGCAATTTAGTGTGATGTGGAAGTAAATATCCATTGTTCAGGGTACGAGAGTCCATTTAGCTTCCAAAATCACCTCCCCCAAAGAAACTGTTGAGGGAAGAGGCTTGGATAGCACTAGGAAAGATAGAAAAGATTTCACTCCATAAAGGTAGCTCTCTTTTATTGATCCATACAAATATCAAAACTTTGGAACTATTTCTTCTGCAGACAGCTAGTGGAGGAAATTARTGCACAGAAATTTACATAGACTAACTGAGATTTAATAACATGTATGAACAAAATAATAGCTTTGTGATCTTTTGTTAGAGATGTCTGCATGGAATTTACACAAGTGAGCTTTATACATTACGCAGAATAGAGAACAACTTCTTGAGTGAGTTCATGTGACTGGTAAACAGAACTCATTTTGAAATTGGAAGTAGAGGAAAAAAAATTCAGGGAGGCTGTTTTGAGAAAAAAAAAAGAGTCTCTAGGGAAACTAGTTTGTGATTTAAAAATCAGATCTTGCCTCTCAGTAAAAAAGTCATTAAGTAGGACACTTCCATGAAACCTAAAAAATCATAAAAGAACTTCAAACCTAAAACATTCTTGTTTTAGGCTTTGTCTTTAGAAACAACTAAAAAACAAAGGTCCTTCTCCCTTGGGCTCAGTTGATAGAATCAGAAATGCTAATGTACTAGAGTCCGTATTGAAGTTTTAAATAAATAAAACCACACTTAACAACTTTTGTGTTGGTGTACAGGGGAAAAAATCACTTTTTAAGATTCTATGACAAAGAGTAAAGAAATTATGTGATCAAAGTAGGAAAAAGAACAGTTAAATTGAACCATACTTTTCCTGTCTTCCATTAGAGTTTGTTACATTTAATAATTCTAATATGCTTTTGTGTCTCGTATCTGGTGATATAAAGTGATACTTCAGATACCATGTCATTCTAATATTACATTTTGACAGTTTGGGATTAAGTGACATGCAGTTGAGTGTATGTGTAAAGGTGGTTTCTTACACATTTGAGATTTTGAAACTATGTTCGTTGGTCTAGGTATCCTGAAATCAGCCCCTCTCCTTCTACCTGGAAGGCACTTACTCAATGCAGGCTTGCTGGCTGCTAGTGTTGGTGGAATAATCCCATATATGATTGACCCCAGCTTTACCACTGGTATTACCTGTCTGGGCTCCGTGTCAGCTCTTTCTGCTATCATGGTAAGAAGTTGGAGATGAACAAGGACATATTTTCTTTCAACTTAATTGTTCATTTAAAAGTTGTCACATGTGACACCTTTCTTGCTCTGGAGTCTCTTCGTTGGATCTATGTGTTGGTGAATAAGAGTTTTAAAAACTCAAGGGTTTCAGTTCCGTTCATTAGGTGCTTACTATATGACAAGCACTACAAAACAGTGCTTTGAAGTTTACACGGTAAGTTTGCCTGTTATTTGCTATCACATTCATTGGACACTAAATCAAATAATCATATAAAAGAAAATTCAGTTAATAAACCTGTGTGCTCAGTGAGGGGGTCCAGCCTTTCATAATAGGATTGGTCTTCCTTTTTCTCCCTGCCTTTTGCATTTAGTCTGTTAAGATGTAGACTATTTTTTTTGTCTATATGTTTCTGTTTGGTGGTTTATATATCAATATTTGATGATATTGTATGCAATTCTGTGTCACTCACTGATTGCTTTATGTTTCTCTAATATGGTGTATACCTTGTACATAGGGTTTATATTTTAAGGTTTTAAAAACACTAGCTACTATGCCTAGCCCAAACTTAGATGTTTAATAATTGCTTATCAAATACTTAGTGGCTCCTTGATTCAGAAACACAATATCTGTAGTACAAAAATGATACTTATTTTTGTGGAATCCTAAGAATTAGGTCATGATTTTAGTACAGAAAGTTTAAAGTCACTTAAAAATCTATCTTTATACGAATACCRATATTCAGTTTTCTTCTGCCTTTTATAGTGACAATTTTATTTTAAATGGAAGAAAATAGTTTTGATATTTTTAATCTAACAAAGTGAAAGAAGTTAAAGTCTAAAAATCAAACTAATACTATAGAAACATAAAACTTCAATAATTCTTATTTTTTTGAGATCTAAAAGATACTTATTGCCCTATRAGAATGTCTGCATAAGTGATGATTTTATGGCCTTATTTTAATTGCTTTTGGGTTAAATAAGTGATAAATGAATACACTTAGTAACAAGAAAAATGTAGGAGRATGTGGAATAAAAAGCAAAAATCTTTCTACCAGCCTTTTTATTTTCCTGGTTTAGTAATTTTGGATTGCATTGTGGACATTATTCATGATATGTTATGAGATGCTTTGGATTCTATYGTATCCATCTAAAGAGTATCAATTATCATTTTTAAATTTGTTTTTATAGGTAGGTAATTTGGTGGGATGCAAATTTCAAATTTCGGTTCCCTTATGGTGGGAGCAGCTGAGAGCTATTATTTTATCATTAACAGGATTGCTTGGAATCTGCTCCACATAGCATAGTTATTAGAGTCAGCCGGCTTTGGGGATCCCTCCAATTCATCTAGCCTGCTCCTTTGCAGAGTTTTCTCTGTCACTTAGTCACCACAAACCCTATCCTCATGATCTTCCAACCAGTAAAACTGTGGGCTTATAATCTTAGTTTTAGCTGCTCCACTTGCTACCAACAATGGTCTAAAACCATAAAAGCTGAAAAATTCACTWAGTGGTATTATATTTTTTTTAGGCATAGACCTCTCTCCATTGTCTTTAAAATTTTTTATTGGTGCATTATAATTACACATATTAGTGGAATTTATTATTATGTATTCATAAGGCACACAGCATAATATRTCAGTTTCATTCCCCAGTACCTCCCACTCTCCATTTTCTGCCTGCTTTTATTTAGGGATTTATTTATTTATTTGTTTATTTATTTTGAGGCMGAAGGGGTGGCTGAGTGTTCACAGCTGTTCTACCAAGTAGAGAGTTGGTCAGATGGAAGACACTTGGGCATTAGCAGAAGTGGAACTTGTATGGAACTCTTATTAGTTGCAAAGTTGGAATGATTAGGAACCAAGATGTTAAATGTCCTAGGTTTAATTTCAGTATTCCGAAATTTGAGTTCTGCTTGGGTCTTTGTCCCAGGGTGTGACCCTGACGGCTGCCATCGGGGGTGCCGACATGCCCGTCGTCATCACTGTGCTGAACAGCTACTCGGGCTGGGCTCTCTGTGCGGAGGGATTCCTGCTCAACAATAACCTGCTCACCATCGTGGGCGCGCTCATCGGATCCTCTGGGGCTATCCTGTCCTACATCATGTGTGTGGTAAGACTATGAGTAAACAGAAGAAATGGTCTTCTGGAAATATGAATGTGCTGGTCATTTATTTGCAGTAAAAAAAAATGTTACTTTTAATATTCAGAAATATCAAAATGTATTATTTAAATAAATTTCTAAAACTGTTTTTAAAGTACTCAACTGTAGAGAATTAGGAATATTAAATATAAAGGTAAAAATCTTCTAAGGCYTCGCTCCATTTGAAGATAAATATATAAGTTTTTTCATCTTTTTTCTTTGTGCATTACATATTTGTGTATTACTTGTCTGACCTTATTACCTTCTTCTTATTTAAATAAAAAACCTTATTATATTTTTAACTTTTTTATTTTTACCACTAAGATGCTTTTAAAGTTTTGTTTTAAGACCCTTTGTATTAGTCCATCATATGGATATACAAAGTTCATTTAACTTTTTCCCTAATGCTGTACATTTTAGGTTGATTTTTAATTCTCTTTGCATTTAATTGCATCTTTGATRATTTTGGCTTTTGTCTTAGAAGAGAGAGAGTGTGCTCAGTTTTCAGGTTTTTTTATGTGTKTCCACAAAGCTTGCCCTCTCATTGGTCATCTATGCCTCTGCCTCCCTTGAAATTTCATGGGCAGCATGATTAAAAAAAAAAAAAAAAAGAACAGAAAAAAGTAACAATGTGAATACTTGTTAGCTTTGTTTTAAATTTCTGATTCTCTTCTTGAGTGGCAAGCATATGTCCTGCAAATAATTTATGGTTGACTAGAAAATGTTTCCCAGTTATAGGTGTTATTCTCTACATATTAGTTTTGAATAGCTGTTAAAAGACAAGCATGAAACAAACAGAAATCAGAATATGACTTTCCACTGATAAATAATTTAGAGGGAAAAGAGCTGCTACTCCTATCATTTTTTTTCAATTAAAAAACTCCCTTATTTTGCAACTTAGAATTTTCTGAAGTTTTAATTGAAAACTCTCAGTTGTAATTTAAATCCTGGTTATCTTTTTATATAATTTTTTTTTTGTTTATTTCTTTGTCCTGTAAAAGAAAGCATTAGATAGCCCAAATTCAAAAACAGCCCAGAGATTTTTAAATTAAGTTACTCAGGTTATTTAGGGAATTTGTAAAGGTGAAAGCTTGCGTATCCTATTTTAAAAGTGTCAAGCTTTGAAATTTTTAAGGAAAAAAATGTATTTAATTGTATTAGAAATACAGTTTAATCTAAAAATAAACTTTTAACCCTTGGTTTGAATTTTAGTCATTTGGAAAATTTGACCAGCAGAGGGCAGCAGATTTTCACTATTAYTTAAAACATGTTTTCCCAGAAAACTGATTTTAAATTAAATGGGAGGATTTGAATTTTCATAAAGCCAGTGGCATACTGATATGAGGAAGAAAGGGTGAAGGACTTGTACCAAGATCTTAAAATGTTACTATGGACACCATCTTTTTTTATTAATTAATTTCTTTCAATTAGGTATATATGACAGCAGAATGTATTTTGATTCTTTGTACAGAATTGTAGCACAACTTTTCATTTCTCTATTTGTCCACGATGTAGTGTCAYACCATATATGCAACCATACATGTATATAGGGTAATGATGTCTATCTCATTCCACCATCTTTCCTGCCCTGTGCCCCTTCCTCACCCCTCCCTTCCCTTTGCCCAAAGTTCTTCCATTTTTCTTAATGGTTTCTTTAAATAAAGTGGAGACAGATATTTTGGGAGGTGTAGTTGATCAATTTAAGAAGTTAGTTTCTTTCTTTTAAAAAAAGTATATGTATATTTTAGTTGTAGATGGACACAATACCTTTATTTTATTTGTTTATTTGTTGTGGGGGATCAAACCCAGTGCCTCATGCATGCTAGGCAAGCGCTCTGCCACTGAGCCACAACCCCGTCCCAAGAAGTTAGTTTCTTTTATTATTATTAATTATAGTAACCGTAGTAATTCCTATGTTAACACATCTAATAGGAACTTGAATAAGGTTGGAAGAGGCGCTTGTTGAAAATACTCTCTTCTACATGTTCTTTGGAAATTATCTTTCTTTTTAAATTCTTTCATATTTCTTTTTCTTTTTTTTCATCCCAGATATTGAACTCAGGGGCACCTAACCATTGAGCCCTTATATAATTCTTTATTTTGATATAGGGTCTAAGTTCCCTAGGGCCTTGCTTTTTGCTGAGGCTGGCTTTGAACTTGCAATCCTCCTGTCTCAGCCTCCTGAGCACCTGGGATTACAGGTGTGCGCCATCATGGCTGGCTGTTTCATATTTCTTGATCTATTTTCTTTAATTATCCTGTTTCTTTCTATTTCTWCTGCCACAAGTGTGTCATTTGCCATCATCATACTATACAGTTTTTTATTTTCTAAAATTCCTATACCACATATATAGCTAATAGGATATTCTTATAGCTACCTGTGTTCATAAATATCATGATAGCAAGTTTATATTAATTTGSATTCGAGGAAGGCGAAGGCTTAATTAAAAAAAATCCTAATTACAAAAATGAAAGWTGTATAATATAGGAAATTTAAAAGACAGAATAAATAAGAAAATAAAAATTTTTGAACTCCTATTGTTAATTAACTGTTAATAACATTTATAGTTCTAATGTTTTTCAAGTGCTGTGTTAACATTCTATTTAGTGCATTGTTGAATTTTCTAACATTAAGTTTTTAACTAATAATTTTTAGCATCAACMCATTATTATAACACACATATACCATAAGCTATGTTTCCAAATCTACRTTATTAATTGTTTGAACAATTTTTTTTGGTTGTAGTATTTCTCTTTGTGCATCTTTGATTATTTCCTTAAGTTAAATTTTTACAAGTGCAATTACACRTTCAAAGGGCGTAAGCTCTTTTCGTTGCCTTTTGAAATTGATAAATTGATTGTCCACCAACGATTCCTCCTTAGTGCTCTAAACTAGCGATGGATGTCATGGCTTACTTCAGTGCATGCTCCCTACTCCCATATGTCATTTTGAAACAAAAAGAAAACAACATAAACAAACCTGCTGTATTTTTAGACTTGGAAGATAGAAAATTTCTTTCCTTCCAAATTTCCCTGATTTCTGATTTTTTTTCATTGACCTTCACTAATTCTTAACTTGTGCTTCTTTATTATAAGAATTTTTTTTTCATGGCTTATGCTTAGCAGCACAAGGTAGTTCATAAGATTAATAAAAATTAAACAGCCGGTTCAACTTGGGTGTTGGTACAGTACTGCAAGCATTATGCTGGATGCTTTACAAGTGTTAGCTCATTTCATCTCTACAATAGTTTTGGAGATAGAAAATGTTCTCATTTTAGAGAGAAGGTATTTTTAAGGCTTATTTCTTACCTTTGTGTTTGTGAAGCCTGGCCCAGTACCTGGTACATTCCAAGGTTTGTACTGTTTGGTAAATGAACATTAGGTGGATATTTTTTTAGCTCATTTACTGGAGTTAATATGATACAGTATGTTGACCTTCATTATTAAAGACTGAAGGAAAAATTTAAGTCTAAAGCATAGCAGGGTGGTTTTGCTGGGTTTGGTGGTGCACACCTGTAATCCCAAAGGTTGAGGCAGGAGGACTGAAAGTTCAAAGCCAGCCTCACCAATTTAGGGAGACCTTAAACAAGTTAGCAAGACCCTGTCTCAAAAATAAAAAAGGGTTGGGGATATGGCTCAGCAGTTAAGCACCTACAGGTTCAATCTCCAGTACCAAAAACAGAAACACAAACCACCACCAGAAAAAAAATAAGAAACAGGGTGATTTTATTCTATAGGAAGAAATGGAATGTACCACAAGTGGCTAACCAGCAATCCCTAGAATTGTATTTTTGTTTTGATAATTAATTTTTTTGGGTGTCCTCTGAGCTATGATTACGCAGTATTCATTATTATAAAAGTTGAAAAATGTTGGCAATGTCTAATCAAAAAACTCAAATCAATGATGTGCTTTATATCCAGATATCAAATAGACATTACCTTCTTTATGATTTTATAGTCTCTCTACTYGTGATAGAATTCAAATCACCTGGGAAATAGAGGTCTTGCAAAAATGCAACAGCATTTTCAGGCAAAATTTTTTGATTTTTGTACTTTGTTATTTGTTGCCAAATGGAAATAGAAAGAAGTGTGTTGAAACAAAGAAAATTATGTTTTTTTGCTTTGTGATTAATTAACATCTACCAGGTAYTGAAATGAGAGGCTGGTAAATGGTGTATATATTATTATTTTGGCTTGGTCTACTTTATGATTTTTCCTTTGTTTTCAGGTTTACTTCTCACAGTGCACTTAGAATTATATGARTTAAGGGTCTCTTTAATGTAGAAAACAATTTTCATTTTAGGGCTTAATAGTTTGAGAGGAATAGTTTTGGACAATGTTGCAAATTTTTTTGCCTTGAAASCTGGAAACTCTTTTTAATATGTGGATCAGTGCCCATAGGATAGACTATTAATCACTCAAGCAGAAACCCTGAACATTTGTTGAGAAAATAATGTTGCAATGGTAAATTTAGAGATGAAAATAATTTAGTTTTTAAGAGGCCACATGAAATTAGTATAATGATGATATAATTGTGTATATGTGTTTAATAGGGGGTAGGCCTTGATTTTTAAACTCCTATGGGGGTTCCCTGTTTTTTTCTCCCTAAGTTGCCATCTGAAGTGGGTACATTTTAAATGTCCTCAGAAATTCTTTCCTTCTCCATTCGTTTTATAGGTTCCTTTTAAGCCAAGTTGGAATAATGTGGGTATATCTCTATACATGTGTCCCTCTGCCGTATATCCCTCTGTGATCTGTCCCTTTGCAAGACTGTCATAGAGCCTCTTTGTCCATTTGACATTTATTTGAAGTTATTATGACATAACTTCATAAATATCTCAATGTCTAAAATAATGTTTTGTACCGATTTTAAAGACAAAAATTTGGTAGAACATTTTTTTTGGTAACCTAGTTTCAGAATCCTGTAATTTAAAACTAGAAAAGATTTATCAAAATCCTCAAAAGTGGGGCCGGGGTTGTGGTTCAGTGGTAGAGTGCTTGCCTAGCATGCACGAGGCACTGGGTTCGATCCTCAGCAACACATAAATGATCTCCACCTAAAAAATAACAACAACAACAAAAATCCTCAAAAGTTGCAAGTTTGGGAAGTCTCAGGTATGTCTATCTRGGCTTTTATTTAAACCTTGGAAATTTTGAGAGGATATCTTAACAAGAACTTAAAACTTCAAGTTAGATTAGGTTTATTAACTTAATTAAAAACATTAATTTTCCATGACTCTCATAAGAGAGTCATTAATAATATACATAAAGATATTTCAGGCTTTGTGTGTGTTAACYTTAGATGAATTTATCAGATTTGGAGTTCTGTAAAATGTGAATGTATTTGATAGGTGAGCTTAGCATGAAAGAATAATTTAAAAAATGCTGATATTGTGATTCATCATCTTTGAACTTTGTTGTTATGAAAGCATGGCTCTTTGCTCATCTTCTGTTTTCCTCCCTGCCTTTGCCTGTGTCAAAACATAAGCAGTGAGGTAAATGTCTCCACCAAAGTGGTTGCCATCTGGGTCCTCATTCTGGGTGGTTGTGGTTTTTCCCTGATGTAGTGCTTATCGTTGGAGATTTCTAATTGTTTTTAAAAAWTTTTTTAAATATTTATTTTTTAGTTGTAGTTGGACACAATACCTTTATTTTATTTATTTTATGTGGTGCTGAGGATCSAACCTAGGGCCTGGCATGTRCTAGGTGAATGCTCAACCTCTGAGCCACAACCCCAGCCCTCTAATTGCTTTTTAAATAATCAAATGTTATCTTTTCTTTTTTACACGCCTGTAATCCCAGCGGCTCAGGAGTTGGAGACAGCAGGATCGCAAGTTCTAACCCAGCCTCAGCAAAAGTGAGGTGCTAAGCAACTCAGTGATACCCTGTGTCTCTAAATAAAATACAGAATAGGGCTGGGGATGTGGCTAAGTGGTAGAGTACCCTAAATTCAATCCCCAGTACCAAAAAAAAGGTAATAGATTGATCCTTGCACAGTAATCAATAATATGTTTATTATGACCCTTAAAATAGGATTTAATAATGTTTGGATTTTTTTCCAAATGGTAACATCAGTTACAGTCCTGTAGACTATTTTGATCGTGTACAGTACTGATTTAAATTCTTAAAATGCGTTTGATTACTTAAAATGTCTTTGGGCTTCCTGYTTCCCCTTTACCATCCCACCTCAAGACAGCTACGAATGAGGTTTTCACACCAGGACAGTTATTRTTATGTATTTCAGTTGGGGTGTTTGGTACAGTCTGAGATGATTGTGAGTATGCAATGTGAAGCTCCTTTCTCCTATTTTTTTCTTCTGAGATTATTTTACAAGTTAAAAKTGTGGGTGTAAATTTAAAGAGAGGATATATCGCCTTATGCACCTGCGTCTCTGGAAATGAAATATTTTAGAGTCTGATGATGGATCCATTTACTTCTATTACAAYTTAGGTGTAGGGTTTCATGGAGCTGTAGTAGATTTGGATAATATGCCAGCCCCCATGTTTTCTTCTTCTTGAAGACAGAAGGCAGCAGAGTTCTAAATCAAATGTAGCCCTTATTTTGATTCCTTCTGGTTGCCTCTTGATAGCTTGTTTCTGGYAGCAGAGTTCACTGGAGAGATCTGAAGGGTCAATGTAAAAGGTTTTATTCTTGTCATTTTCTTTGGTTGTGGTTTACCCTGGTGAAATACATGTAGGTATGGAGAGAAATTGCTCAATCARCCTTTGGACAATAATAGTGAATCTGAATTTTGCATTTTAAATTTTACTGGTAGTTTTTATTAAAATCTTTGTCTTTATTCATATTTTACTGAAAATGTATCTGTGTAATTGACTTGAAAGGAAAAAAAACAGGTGGTTCTCGGATCTCTTTTTATTTAAATTTAAAATTTTTTTAAATTTAAAATTTAAATTTTTGAAATAATTTTCAGAAGCCAGCTCAAATACATCTGGTTAAAATGACCTAAATCATCAAATAAACCTTTTTAATGCTTCTGAATATCATATGTGTAAAATTTATGCCATTCTCCCAAAGTTATGTGGATTAAACTCTCATAGCTGATAATTTTGCTCTGTAGGCAATGAATCGCTCCCTGGCTAATGTGATTCTTGGAGGCTATGGTACCACTTCAACAGCTGGTGGGAAACCCATGGAAATTTCTGGCACACATACAGAAATCAACCTTGACAATGCCATCGACATGATTCGAGAAGCTAATAGCATTATCATTACTCCAGGTAAAAAAATAAAGGCAAAATCAAAAAATAGACAACCTCTAACTGTTGTAATGGATTCAGAGATAGTTTTGGGAATGGGAAAAAAATGGAATTGGAAATTCCTCAATTTTGAAAACACAATGGAAACTTAGTAGCAACTCTGTGATTACTACATGAGAAATATGAAAATTCTCAGTTTAGGTTAAYATTTTGAGGATCACATAGATAATCTATAAGTTGATGCAGTGGTTTCTGTAGTGTCTTTTAGTGTTTCTTTAAACATGTATTAATTTTTGAGTCTTAGCTATTTTTTTTTCTGGTAAKTTTTTGGCCTATCATCAAGATTAAATTAGATATAGGTTATGAAAGTGTCTGGCTTAGTCAGTAGGCTTGCTTAGTCTCTTTTCAAAAATAAATATTTAAAAAATGACATCAAGAATCATGTGGTTTCAATAGCATGAGAGAGCATGACCTAGTAGACAGAGCTTGGTCTGGGAACCACAACATCTCATTTTAAAATTTTTATTATTTTTTTAGTTGTCAACRGACCTTTATTTTATTTATTTGTATTCGATGCTGAGAATCAAACCCAGGGCCTTATGTGTGCTAGGCAAGCGCTCTACCACTGAATCACAACCCTAGCCCTCAATGTCTCATTTTTGGTCTTAATTTTACCACTAATAGTCTGTATGACATTGACCAAGTCATTTAATCTCTCTGGGCTTCAATCCTGCACCACAGCTCCCTTTYTCTCTCTCTCTCTTTTTAATTTTAGCCCAGTTCTCTTTCACTATTATTACACAATGCTCTGGTATTATGGATAACATGTTGGTTTCAGTTCAAGATTTTAACTGYATTCAGTCTTTTGAGTTTTCTGTAAAGAAAATCTATTGATTTGACATGTGGGTAATTAACCTATTGGTATTAAGGTAAAAATAGCAAACATTATCCTAATCAAATGTTAAGGTGCAAGGCTTCTTAAATTGGGGCAGTGTTCCTTTTTAGGGGCATTTGAAACATGTGATTTGGGGTTTTTGGTTGTCACAAAGATGGGGCTGCTATTGTCTATTAGTGAACAGAAGCAGAWAAACTGAAGTGTGTGGGGACATTTCTGTGTATTGAATTGTCACAGCCGGAACAGCTGTGGAATTGCCTGTAGAGAAAGTGTGCTGGAGTGTGAAGAAGTTGAGGACTGTGATCTTTTCCTTGAGGCGTTTTCCACTGGGGGAAGAAGTTGCAGATGAATGATGCAGGGGGTGGTGGCTATGATAAAGGCTAAATTGAACCGCGTGAACCATTTTCCCATCATGAGGAAACTAAGAAGRTTTGTAGGCAAGTGAGGATTTGTTTTTGGCCTTAGAGGAGGGATAGTGTTAGGCATGGGTGAAGGCAGAAGGAATAGAAAAGGGTTAGAAAAGCAGTTGTTGTATAGGTAGACTGGACAGAATGTGACAGTTAAAGGAGAAGGAATACAGCTGAAGTTCTTGTTATACCCTTAGTAATAGCGAATGTGAAGATCATTTTTATTTTTCATCTAGGTGCAGGGGTGGGAATGTTAAATTATTTTTTTTTTGAGATATAAAGTTTGGACAATGAACTTGCTGTATGGGAACTCAAATGAGAGGCAGAATGAGAGTCATCAGATGGTTATTGATGCCATGGGATGAGCTGAGATTTTTAAAGAGAGGTGAGGGAGAAACTTGGTCATTTAAGAAGGCAACTAAAAAGAAAAACTATTCAAGAAATTTGAGAGAGGGGAAAGTTAGGAGGGTGCCAGGGAACAGAAGTGTTTTCAGAATCAAGTATGCACAGAGTTTAAAAACATGAGAGGTAAAGAGAGAAGAGAGGGCATGTGCAAGTGTGTCTGTGGTGTGTGGATGGGAGTGCCCAGAAATAGTGTACTCTGCAGAAGATTGAGGGATCATTAGATTTTAATTTTCAAATTCAAACTTATGATTTTGAAGGTCAGATTATAAATTACTTTCATGTCTAGTCCTATTAACTGCCTATGTTGACATAAAAATATGTTTTGAGCAAGAGACAAGGTGTAGTTCATAACATTTCAAAACACAACCCACATTTTTCTATGTTCTTGATATTTCTTGCAGGATATGGTCTCTGTGCAGCCAAAGCTCAGTACCCCATTGCTGATTTGGTAAAGATGCTCWCGGAGCAAGGCAAAAAAGTCAGGTAAGTGTTTGCAAGGATAGTTGTGTGATGAAAGGTTATGGACGACTTTTTTTTTATATTTATTTTTTAGTTGTAGTTGGACACAATACCTTTGTTTGTTTTTATGTGGTGCTGAGGATCCAACCTAGGGCCTCACGCTTGCTAGGCGAGCATGCTACCACTGAGCCACAACTCCAGCCCATTATGGATGACTTTTTAAAAAGTACTGTTTCTTTTTTTTTAATATCTTTATTTATTTTCATATGGTGCTGAGGATCGAACCCAGTGCCTTACATGTGCAAGGCAAGCACTCTGCCACTGAGTTATAACCCCAGCCCCTAAAAAGGACTGTTTCTTTAAGTGGCACTTTACACGTGTAATCCTAGGGAAAGCTGTCAAAAAACCTCTATACTAGTCTTAGTCTACTACCAATTTTCACTGCTTTTATCTAATATCATTGAATCTAAATATAGATTCATTTTAGAAAGGAAAGTTTGTTATTCCAAATTCCAGGGTATTTATTAATGGGGAAAAATAGAAGTTTGTGTTTCCCTGTGTTTCAATTTGGGGAAGGAGATCAAGCAAAGCTCTTTCTTTCTTTCTTCTTTCTTTCTTTCTTTCTTTCTTTCTTTCTTTCTTTCTTTCTTTCTTTCTTTCTTTCTTTTCTTTCTTTCTTCTTTCAACCATTTTAGTTATACAGAGTAGTTGGGTTCCTCTGGACAAATTGTACGTTCATGGAATTAGATTTCAGATTCCCTATCCTCACTATTCCCTTCCCTCCTTTCTCTACTGCACTGATCTTCCTTTCACTTATCTATTGATTTATTTTTTATTGTTTTTTTTCCTATCAAGCAATGCATTTGAATTATATCAAGTTGTGTTCTTCTGTTTTTTATTCACGTTGMAAAATGAAAGACCTCCAAAGAGGTTTTCAAAGAGTCAGTCTCTGTGGGCTGGTCATTGATGGCTAATTTAACTCTCATATTCCCAGAGTGGAGAAAACTACGGAGAATGCTTTATCTAAAGCCACGTGGTTTTGGAATCTGAATTAGTACAACAGCTGTTTTTGCTATTGGGGCACCGGCCTCTGTTCTTGGGAGGATGTTAAGCAGAACAGAAAAGCTGAAAACTCTGCATTCCTAGATCCCCCATGACCTTGGATAAAACATTTGAAAAGTGTAAAAATCGTGCATTGGGAGTTCAACTTGGTGACCATCACAGTGTTTGCATTTGTCCTATCCATCTCAGGGTTCCCACTCTGGAACTACTTTTGTCATTCATGTGTCAGAGGAGAGAGCCCCTGGAGTCATCCTTAGTAGGACTACTGCTGCCCATTTCTTGGGGAAACTGGTTCACTAGCAGCTGCATTGACATGGCAAAATATCTGACAAGATAACTTATTAAATAGAATTAGTTTGGTCATCAAGATATTAATATCTGTTGACAAAACTATTTTTGTCTGTTAACTATTCCTTTTAGATATCAACTATAGACTTTTGTCTGGGGGCAGATGATAAGAAAATAAAGCAAGTCAGACATGGTGGTAAATGCCTATAATCCCAGTTATGCAGGAGGCCGAGGCAGGAGGATCAAAAGTTTGAGATCAGCCTGGGCAATTTATACTATGTCTCAAAGTAAAAAATAAAGGGGCTGAGGATGTAGTACAAAGGTGGAGTACTTGCCTAGTATGGGTCCAATCCCTAGTACTTATTGCCAAAGGAAAAAAAAATGCCTAACAGTGTGGCCCAGAACTAGTCAGTATATCTGTGCCAGACTGGATACAGAATCCTGCTCTTTGGACTGAATGTTCCTGCTCTAAATGGTGGTAAAAGAGAGTTGAGATGATGAAATCACAGGGTTACCTAAATGGTCTTAGTGTTAGCAGCCATGTCAGCTGCATTTTACTTCTTCCTTTTTTTTCTTTCTTGCTTTTTCTTTTTTCTCTCCMTTCCCCCCACCTCTTCTTGAAATCTATAGTTTGTATTTTCCATATACACAGATTCAAGATACTGCTTTGCGGTGGGCCTAAATGATTCTGTGACATGGATCATTTTCATGGTTAGTGAAAATTTAAGTGAACTGAAGATAGAAGTTGAGAAAAGTTCTTGGCTATATTTTTAAATTGTTACATAAGAAGTCTCTCTTTCAGTTCCTTCTTCCTCTTTCCATGTAGGATATTAAGCTATGCCTTATTTTAGTCATAGTCTTGCCAGTTAGAGCATTTACAGAAGGATGAGTGAAAGGATGTGTTCAAGCACCTTTCATGATTTTCCTGAAGACATTGTTTTCTTTATTCAATCCRCATGTGAAAAAGTCTAATGTATTAGTAATGCCTTCTATCACCACGTAAATGTTTAGATGAATGGCAGTCATAATAAAATAGAAAAAGATGGCTTTCATGTCTCTGTTATCCTTAGGAAGGGAAGGTTTAGTTCATCAAAACTCTTGTTACTCACTCATCAACCTAGGGAAGCAGACATCTTGGAAAATGAGGCTGGTGTGAGGTGATTGGATGCAGAGTGGAAGAACATCATAAATAAGACCATCCAGCAGCTTTAAGGCAGGCAGGCCAGGAGAGGAAATAATAAGGGAGATGGAGAAAAGTTTTCTGAAAAGAAAAGGACGGGATTTTTTGTTTTTGACCTAATTAAAATTAGGATTTTTGTCCATAAAGAAATCATAGGAACTGCTGCTGTAGGGTGATTTCTGTCACACTGAATGGGAAAATTAGTTGGCTTAAGATTTTAGAGATTTAATTATAGATTTATGAATCATTTTTCTTTTTTTCCCACAATGCCTTTATTTTTATGWGGTACTGAGGATTGAACCCGSGTCCCGCCTGTGCTAGGCGAGTGCTCTACTGATGAGTTGCAATCCCAATTACAGATTTTTTATTGAACCAATTTTTTTGAATAAAACAAGGATTTTCATGATGGAACTTTTCAAGTTTCAAAGAATTATTTATATAATTTTTAAAAATAGTTTATTAGCAATTTATAATATAGTTCAGAATAAAATTATTGCTCAGTTTGGCTCCTCTATAAGTTAGGAAAAGTAACCTATTTATATTCACCTGTCCTTCATATAAAAGCTAAAATGATATGTTAATATATTATAGTGTTTTTTACTAAAATATGTTGAATTTTCAACATGAGGTTTGTAATAAGTTATATGGATCTTACATTTGAATTAAAAGGAAGAGGACTATTCTTGCAAACATGATGTCAGTAGAATACCATGTTTTTCCTTTCTAGCTTCTGGGTGGACTTACTTTCTTTTCTTTACTTTTTTTTTTTTAATGTAAAGGGAATCAGAAACTTTTTGATTTTGCTTTATGTTGGTGTCATCATCTTTTCTTGGAGAAATATAAATTTTCTTGACAAAGTTGGGAATATACACATAAATGTTAGCTTTTTTAAAGAGACGCATGTCTGAATAAGAGATGGCTGCAGCAGTTACCTTGTATTTTAATGAAATAAATCTGTATTTACAGTTTGTGGTAATTTGGTCCTTTCATCACTCTGTGGAGCTCCCACGGTGTTCATTGACTACAGCTGCTGGGCCTCTGGTTTTAGTAGGTCTTTGTGCCTCAGGACCCCAACATGCCTCGCATCCAGATGTGGTGACATATTCACACACATCCCCTGTGGAAATGTGCCAGTGTGGACATACGATTGTCATCAATTAGCTATGCCCAAGTGGTGCCAAGAAAAATTGCATCTGTCATACAGTCTGTCTGACTTCATGGCCCATGATTGATTTAGAGACACTCCTGTTTTCCCTTCCTTTGGCTATAGTCATAACATGTTCACAAAGGGCTGAGGTTATATAATGAAGCACATGACATTTCATGACAAGAGCTCATTTCAGCCTGTTGACGTCATGAAAGTTCACTGACTTAGACTTTGTTTAGTGGCCAAGATATTGTCACTTATCTAACTAATGCTGGATCTTTAAAAGCATTTAATGATGAATATCTATGACACAAGGACACAGACATTTTTTTTCTCTTTACCTCCCAATCTTTGAATTGATTATACAATAAGCTTTTTATTATAGAAATAACTTGCCCAATGAATAAATCTTAGAAAGGGGTTGTCAATTTTTTTTCCTCTTTTGTAATTAATAACTGCTTGATTTTCTTTCCATAAAGCATTGCTTGGATTATCACAGAAGTCTTGAATTTATGGAAATGCTTTTTAACTTGCTTGACTAACTAATGTTATGTATTTTATGTTAAGATTCCATTGTCTTTCTATTGATGTTATTAGAATGGTATTAAAACTTACAATAAATTTATTACTAGGTTCTGAGGACATAAGGATACAGGAGCTCAGTTCTTACTCATAATTTTATAATTATGAAGAAGCAAATCTGTGAACAAAGGAATCTGTGAATTCCATTTAATATTATAGCATGCTAAGACAAGGAATTAACCAGCCAGGGGACATTTTCAATTTTTTATACCATTTATAACATGCAAAATTTTGAAGCCTTTTAAAAATGTGTATATGAGTGCATATAAACACTTCATCCTRTCTTAACACATCAAGTTGCGTGTGATATTTGCAGTTTAATAGTGTTTCATGATGTTATTTTTACAAATACGTCAGTTCTTTGAATACACTTAAAGATTAAATATTTTGTTCCTGTAATGGATTTTTCTGTTTTTTTTTTTTTTCCCATGGGTTGCATGTGATTTAAGGATGTAGAGTTCAGCATTCTAGGATTTGTTATGCTTTGGGGTCAAGGAAGAGCCAAAGCATGACATTTGTAAAGTAACAGAGGCACTTGCTTCTGAAGAAAATGGAAATTAGGCCAGCTAAAAGACTTAGTGTTTAGTAAATAAATAGACATCAACAATATTGAGCAGTTTCATGTCAGCTTTGTGATTTTTTTTTAAAGCCGTAACTATTTATATCAATGTTCATTCATTGAACAAATAATAGCACAGTACTTTGTGCCACACACTGTTCTAGGTCCTGGGGACATATCAGTTAATACAACGGAAGAAAAAGCCT